GGGGGGGGGTGGTGGGGGTTATGTAAGCGATCAGGTCACAGGGCGCGCTGGCCCCGTGGGGGGCTGCCTCCGCTACAAGGTGCTTCTCCCGAGGAATTCTCCCGAGGGCTCGGTCTCGTACGACCTGAGAGCGTCCGCAGGAAGCACGGAGGCATGACTGGGCCGCGCATCTGGGGCCAATCTGAGGCGCGGGGAGACGTGGGACCTCCGGGCCGCTGAGCCCTGGCGCCGACCTGCATGACTTTCCAAATTCCTCCGTCCTAAGGGCTTCGGAGAAGCACCGAGGAAGGGGTGGGGTGGGGGAGTGGTCTCGGCCTGGGGCGCCTCACAGCACCCTGGGGCCCGGGGCGGCCCTGGGCACGGCTGGGGCTGCCTCGCCGAGTCCCACGGTGCGGACGGAGCTCCTCACCGCGGCCGTCCAGATGGAAGGGGACCATGGTTTTGCCAAAAGCAAAACAATACAAAAGGTGGTTTCAGTGGGTCTCTTTTGAGAGTTTTTGTAACCAAAATCAACTCTAAACAGACATTCCCAGAATCGCCTGTCCGTGTCTGCAAGATGACCGTGGCAGGAGGCGGTGTGTCGGGCTCCTTGGTTCACGGGAGCAGGGTGCCGGGGGAAGCACGCCTAAAGGCGGTTAGGGATCACTCCAGGGCGCCCTCCTGGCGTGCCGGAGAACCGGAGAACCGGGGCCCTCAGTGCCGGTGCCCTGTGGGCCGTGGGGTGGCAGCGCCCCTGCTGGGGGCCCCCGGCCGTGTCCCGCGACCACACGGCCTGTACCGTGCTGGCTCGGACGTGACACCGCGGCCCCGGCCAGCGTTCCACGGACCAAATAACAGCCAGACGCCGTGCGAGTATCCTCACAAGTTTATTTATGTCACTGTTCCCGCGCCCACCACGGCCGCTGTCGGGTATCGTCTGCGTGGGGCTCGCTCGCCAGCATCAGCCCGGATGCCGGCCGCTCGGTCGAGCAATTTGGAGGTTCTGTTTCCCAAAGGTGGTTTTTTATTTTTGTTACCCTCTCATCACTGAGGCTGCGTGTTAATTAATAGACATATAAACCCACACTCGCCATTCAGGGTTAGATGGGATTAGAGGGGCCCTCGGAGGCCGCCCCTCACCTTCGTTCTGGGGAGAAGGGGCTGCAGGGATCAGGAAGGGAGGCCCAGAGAGGCGTCAAAACTCAAAGGCACAATCAGTACGTTACGGAGGGGCAGGGGTGAGCTCACGTTAGAAGGTACCGTTCAGAGGACAGGCTTCCTACCCTCAGGAGGCTGGGCAGTTTAGGGTCAGGGTCAGGGTCAGGGTTAGGGGCAGGATCAGGGCCAGGGGCTGGGTTAGGTCCAGGGCCAGGGGCTGGGTTAGGTTCAGGGGCAGGGGCCGGGTTAGGTCCAGGGCCAGGAGGGGCCGGGTTAGGTCCAGGGCCAGGAGGGGCCAGGTTAGGTTCAGGGCCAGGGGCCGGGTTAGGTTCAAGGCCAGGGGCCGGGTTAGGTCCAGGGCCAGGAGGGGCCAGGTTAGGTCCAGGGGCAGGGGTCAGGTTAGGGTCAGGGGCAGGGGCCGGGTTAGGTCCAGGGCCAGGAGGGGCCGGGTTAGGTCCAGGGCCAGGAGGGGCCGGGTTAGGTCCAGGGCCAGGGCAGGCCCGACTATGCCTAGGCACTTGGTGCGCTCACTCCCAGGAGGCAAGCGCGTGGGGGGTTATCCTTCCAGGAGGGTCAGCGTCTGCAATGTGCACTGCCATGCTGAGCATGCCACCCGTCACGGTCGGCTTTCCAGTGACCAGGGTGACACCATGCGGCCACCCCGAAATCTCCTACAGTCCACTCTCTCTGTGCAGGTCTCCCCGAGCTCTCGGCCGGGCTCTGGTGACAAAACAGGGGTCTGTAGGGGCCACCGTGGTCCCCATTGTGTCCTCGCCTGTTTCCTGCCCCAGGCCACTGCCCGGCCCTTGTGCCTCCGTCCCCTCTCCGCCACGCACGAGGTCAGCCCGTCTGCGTGGGAGAAGCCCACGGGCCCTCTGCGCCCACCACTCTGCTCTCTCCCAAGCTGCCCGCCTGCATGCCACGTACCGAAGCTCCCGCGGGGTGACGCTTCTCCTGCCGCCTAGTCCTGTTAGGATGTGGGGGACCTTAGGAGGTGAGACGGGGCAGGAACAGAGCCCGAAGGAGGTGCGGCCACCGTCCCACCGCCCGCATGTGTCCTGTGTCCACAGCAGGGGCTCGTGGCTGCGCCCGAGCCAGGGACGGGTCAGCGTGCAAAGCAAGTCCAGGGACGGAGGGTCAGTGGGACGACGGCCTGCACCCAGTGCTGGGGCCCCAGGGTGCCAGGCGCGTCGCCATGGAATGAGTCTCCAGGACACTTTGTCTTCACACATGAAGTAGGGACAGTGGAACCGTTTTGTGTTTGTGTTTCTCCATGTAGCTGGGGGCCAGACGTTGCCAGCGGGACGCGGCGTGCCTGGCCCTACTGTGCGCACAGTCCAAGGCATTAGGCGAGAGGTCGCGTCTAGAACAAGGTGGGTGGGCAGGAACGTGTTAAATCCTAGGGCGGGATTATTAAAAAGCGGAGGACGGGAGTCGGGGACAGGGGTCGGCTCAGCGTCTAGCCATGGGCGATCCAGAGCGGCTGTCTCTTCCGCCCTGCGGAGAGGAAACAGGGCGTTAGGGGGGCGCTGGGGCCCTGCGCCCCGTCCAGGGCCGAGGTCCCCTTTCCTGGAAACCAAGGGCCTCTCTGTCGCTGGGGTCTGATGCTAGAAATGAAGCCACGTACAGGCGTCTTCGCTCGACCCCTCACAACCTCCCTTAGCAAGCGCTGAGTTTCAGCCGACCCTCCTGCGACCGGTGTTGCCCGTGAGGACGCCCCATCTCTTCGTCACTGTGCTCGGCAGAGGGCCCCTTGTTGTTTCTGGTAGAACTTCCCGGGGACCTGAGGAAGGTCCTCTGCAGGCAGTGACAGGACAGCCTCACCTCTGGGTGACCTTGGGGCGATGGCACACCGCTCGCTGAGCCCCACAAGGTTATGCGGCCTGTGTGTGTCTCCCAATCCAGACACACCACACGCGTGACTCATACCGATTTAAAGGCAGGTCCCCCAGTCAAGGGGTATTTGGGTCACAGACTAAGTTATTCCACCACAAGTTGTAAAATCTTGTTGTTTTAATGCGAAATTAGAAAGCCGCTTCCATGGGTCCGAGGCCTCCCTCAGTGGTGGTTTGGGACATGGGGCCCATGGGCAATGTGGGCAGAGGTGAGCCCGGGCCCGGCGTCTCCTGGGGCTCACAGGGAGCTGGGGTCCCGCCCTTCAGCTCTCAGGTCTCCTGTCACGCCTGGGGGGCAGGGGTGATGTAACCCAGCCTCCTGCAGCAGAACCTCCACATGCTCAATGCAGTTGCTCTGTGACCCCAGTGGCTGCGCTGAAAACGGGTCAAGGGAAGGAGACCCCTAGGCACCAGGTCCATGGACACTCACGCCCTTCCCCCAAAGTGGCACCGGCCTGAGGCCATGGGTGAAGCCTGGAGTACGAGGGGTGAGAATCCAAGATCTGAGTCCCTGGGTGCCCGCCGGGGGCACAGAGCAGGGGCCTGGAGGCCGAGCACAGGCTCAGGTCCCTCTTAGGTGGAGACCAAGTCTTCCCTCGTCTGCAGGGAACGTTCTACAGGAATGTCCGTCTTTCACCCGGGGACCCAAACAGGAGCCTCCCAGGGTTGGTTTTCTCTGGCCCCGCACCGTGGGCAGCGAGGGGTTTGCGCCTCCGGCAGTGCTGGTCACATCATGTCAGGTGACCTGCCTCGTAGGCGCCCCTCCTCACTACAGTCTGCTCCGGCCACCGTCCCAGAACAGTAGCCTCAGACTCGCGACCCTCAGCCCCTCCTGCCTTTCCTCCGTCCATCGCATTGACTTTACACTGATCAGATGGACGCCCTGAGATTTCGGGGTATCTGGGCACGGCTGTCATTGTTATTAGCAATAATGCCAGCTGCCATTCCTGCGCGTGACCTGGGGCCCTGTGACCAGGCCGCTCTCATCGCCTGTTACTGCCACAGAGCTTTTCATGGGTGTCACCCCTTTCATAGCGCAGGGAACTGGGGGCCAGAGAGGCCACTGGCCAAGGGCTCTTGGGCAACAAATAGGCTCCGGTCTGTGGGACTCCAGCGTCATAACCAAGGGGACACGCCTGCTGTGGTTTCTAGGGTCTCACCTGGTCCAACTACCTGCACCCCCCCCCAGTCACCTTGTCCTGCTCATTTCCTGGGAGGCAAAGACGCTCCTGCCTCCGGAGCCACCTGACCCTGCAGGTGAGTCAGCACCCACAGGTGCTCCCCAACTCGGCTGTGGCCTCGGGTCCCCATCTCATTCTCAGCCCCCGAGGGGCCTGGCTCTGGTTCAGTGCTCCCCGAGGCGCCAGAGGAAAAGCCGTGAGGAGGCTGGACGGCGCCCCACCCGCCCCAGCCTGTCCCGGACCTGGGGTGGCTATGTTACCAGTTTGAAGAATTTGGAAAGCGTGCTCTGGGTGTCCTGGCCCTTCAGTCCCTTATGAGCGGATTTGTAGTCGGCAGCTCTGCCCCCGTAGCCGAATCCGGGCTTCTGCCCCTCGGCCCCCTGCAAGAGAGAACAGCTCTGGTCGGAGCCAGGTCCCCGGGCCCCCCCAGGTGGCCGAGGTAACCCAAGGGCGCAGCGTCCCCCACTCGCGTGTCTCAGCAGTTGCCGGCCGGGGCCTGGGGTCTGTCTCAAGATGTGGCCCAAATGCATTCATTTCAAAGACCTGGGCCTTTTCTACACCAGCGGCTGCCCTGCTCGCACTGCCTGGTCCTAAGAGAAGGTTAGCGGACGTCACGGGAGACGCTGCGCCCACCCGGGGCTGGAGGAAGGGGGCCTGATGCGGAGCCTGGGGATGTTTCTGGTTGTTCGCACGAGCCGAGCTCACATCGCTAGTCTCTCAGCGACCCAGGCAGCAGGTGTCAGAGGTCCCTGCCGCACCCGCCTAACCCGTGAGGACAAGACTCTCGCGCCCCGGCCGACAGCGGCCTCTCCCGAGACGGCAGGAGCCGTGGCGAGGGAGTCGGGCCTGAGTGTGCAGACCGAGGCCCTGGCTCCGGAGCTGCCGGCCCTGGCGGGAGGGGCAGGTTCTGGTGGGTGAGCCGTGCCCTGCATCCTGCACAAGGACAGGGCTTGGAGCCCGCAGCCTGGATGGGCCTCAGCTCCCGGCTCCCCAGCTGTGTGACCTTGGGCAAGGATGGGAACCTCTCTGAGCTTCGGTTTCCTCCTCTATAAACCGAGGATGAGGAAGGCGCCTTCCTCGCCGGGTTGCTGTGAGGACCTGTGAGCGAATGGGGGTCCCGCTCTGGGAACAAAGCCCTGCCTCCGACCACCCAGCAGCCTCTCTCCCTCCAGGGGATGGTGAAAGCTTCTGCTCTGGGACGAAGCAATGGCAGGTGATTGTGGAAATAGAAGAACATCCGTGTCCCTAGCTTTTTCTAACATGATTTAATTTCACTGGGACGGTCCACATGAGAAAGAGATGGGTCCAACTGTGGTGTGGACACACACACACGAGCACTCGGGGTGAAGGTGTCCCCACCGTAGTGCAACGACCATCCCAGGGCAGGGCCTCTACTTGGTGGATGGGGTCTGAGGTTTCCCTGTTTCCCCAACAAGAAACCAGAGACCCCATGTGTCCCTCTCCGAGGATTCCAGCAAACAAATGGAACCATCTCTTGACCGAGACCCCAGAATCCTTCCCTCAGCCCATAGGCCCTTTTAATTTTGTGGAAATGTTTTAGGGCTGGGGACTTGGGGATCACCTCACCCACCCCATTATGTTGGAGGCGCTGGAGCTGAGCTCTGAAGGCTCAGCTTCCCCCAGGTCACCTTTGTCACTCTGGGCAGGACTGAGGCTGGGCCAGGGCCACCTGTCCCGGGCCCCACCCCACAGCTGGTCTGCACTGGGCTCATTCAGTCGAGGCCTTGGAGCCGACACTGGACACAGGGCTGAGGCGGCTGCTTTCACGTGAAGATCAGTGTCAAGGTCACCAAGTGGCAGAAGGACAGGGGCGTGGGGTGGAGAAGGTCCGAGCCCGCCCACTAGAGAAGCGCCAGCGTTGCCCTTGGCTCCCAGAGGCGCCCACGGACACGCGTTCTCCGTTGCGGAGCACAGAGGGGCGGGTGACCGTGAAGGACAGACACGTCACGTGGCCGAGACCACGCTTCCCCACCGGGACACGAGCTCATCCTGTCCCACTCCCTCGTTTTTCACCAAAAATAAAGACCTTCTGAGAACTAAATTCAAGGACTGGTTTTCTGATTAATAATAGACTTTCAGATTCTTGGTCATTTATATCTTTGGATGACCTAGAATTTATCAGGAAACACGCAGCGGAGTTTAGCAGCAGGAAGGGGGCTGAGAACCCCCCGCAGGGAGACAGTCCTGGAGCTGCTGAAAACAGACAGAGGGGCAGAGAAATGCAGGGGAGGACTCTGCTCGGAAAAGAGAAATTCAAAGCACATCAGTAGGACGGGAGAGGAAGGGGCACTGCGGGGGCCTTTGGTTAGCGGCAGGAGGGGGCAGCCTGGGAGTGACCGGCGGGAGGGAGGATTGGGCCCCGGCCACCAGCACGTGCCAGGAGGACTTTGCGAAAAGCCCGGAGTCGGCGCCTGGAAAGCTGCGAGGCAGACGGGCGGTTACTACGACAAAGTTTCTGGGTAAAAAGTGGGTCTCATCCTGCAGTCTCATTTTTGTCTCCTGCTGGCACAGAAAGTCAGTGGTTAATGGGGGGTGAGTGCGAGCCCAGGGCCATTTCCTGCATGATTGTCACCTGTTTGCAAAGCCATTAGGCCAGGAGAAGCTCCGGGGTATTTATGTAAAATCGCAGCAAATACATCAGCTCATCATTCAAGGTCCTAACGTGTTGGGGGAGATGTGGAAATTACAGTCTTTTCTCTGCCCTTTCTGTGCAGTGGCTCCCTTCCTCCCTCCCTCCCCTTCTCTTCCCTCTTCCTTCCTTTCTCTTTAATTTTCTCTCATTCACTTATATGCTATTAATTGAGCATCTCATACGGGTGGCCCTGAGCTACAGATTAAGGATGTTGAGTCCCTGAGACGGGCACGGTTCCTGGCCTGTAGGTTAGCATTTATTCCCTCTTTTATTCTGAAAACTATATAACTTTCATAAAGCAAGAACCATGCTTAGTATTGACCAGCAGCCAAAGCCGACACATGGGGCTAGGAGACACTGGTGGGCATTTTAAAGTTGGGTCAGACATCAGATTTCACGATTATCTAAAAAGGGAACCATCGCCCCCTTAAGGTCATCATTAAAATTTCTCCTCAGTAGTCAAGGGCCTGAAACTCCTCGGAAGGTTTTCCTGGCTGGCTTGGCATCAACGCTGCAGCTGTTACTAAAACACACGCAAAACCCAAATGCTTTGGGCGAGTTAGGTCGTTATGACCGAATAACTGAGGTTATTCTCTCTCCTTGGTGTCATTTTTCCTCATGGAAAAGTCGCCATCTGGGGCTCGTCATGTCATGTGATGGTGTCAGCCCCAGGCCCACACCCCCTGGGGGGAGCCCTGTGGGGTCTGTGGGAGCCGCTGGGAGGAGGGCGCTGGCCCTGGGGTGCCGGTCACCGGCGGGAGGAAGCGGGGATGCGACCATGCGGAAGGGAGGGCCGGCCACTGCAGCAGCTGCTGGTTTCCCCTGGAGGGGGACACACCCGGGCCCCGGGGANTGACCATGGAAGGGAGGGCCGGCCACTGCAGCAGCTGCTGGTTTCCCCTGGAGGGGGACACACCCGGGCCCCGGGGACAAGCTGGGCTGCGGGGGAAGAAAGGTGGAGCAACCGTCAGGCAACTGAAAGGGAGCAGAACACAGAGGCCGAGCGGCTGCAAGGACCAGGATGGGGGAAGCCAGGGGACGCGGTTGTCACCTACCCAGCTGAATCTGCTGATGCCTCGCCCCTGGATGAAGAAAGAAACAATGACACGTGATCAGTGCAGAAAACGTCCTGTCCCACGGGCGGCCGTGGCCACCGGGAGCCTCCGGGAGGGTCTGGGACCCCGCTTTAGAGGGAAAGTGACAGGGACTGGTTAGCACTGTCTGCGAGGCTGGGAGACGCCAGGCGTCTCATCTACAGGAACCCACGTGGCGAAACTGCGCGATCGGGTCAGGGAGCCACGGGCCCGACCTCTTTTCGGTACATTTAGAGCTTTCGGGGAAGGTCTATAAATAAAGCGATGACCAGTCAAGACATTCAGAGCTCTCACCTTTCCTTGCGACGGAGGAGGTGTGCGCGGCGTCACCTGCGGAGACACAGGAGATGGTGAGCGGCGGGGCAGGGAGGGGTGGGGGGGAC